TTCTCACTCTGGGATCATTGGACAGACTGCAGAGACCAAGTTGGTCCACACAAATGAAACCCTTCTGTCTGCGCACTGGCGCACCGGGGGCGATACAGTGCACGCACCATTACACACACATATACACACAGCCGTAATGTTCACGGGGGACATGGCGAGCCCTTACTGGTCGCTCTGGTCTATTTCCCTTTTATTTGTGCCATGCTCACTGAGTGAAGGTATGCTTGTAGATCAGTGTGTCAGCAAAGCAGTAATCTGCTTGGCCGCTGTACTTCTCTGCGTTGGCAGATGGGGCGGATATCCCTACCCGCCATCTGGACAGCCTGGCATAGACGAGATGCGGTCATGGCCTAGTGCTGAGCGAGATCAGGGGATTACTGTCTTCCCTGCTATCCCAGCAGCACAGCTATTTTTATGGACATGTCAAATAATGAGTGTACCCATGTGATCACAACTGACACTCATCGAGCCTGGCGTTTCATGTACCAGCCCGATACAAGACTGGATTGTAATCTCTGCACCAGGACCAAGAGAATCTAAAACTATGGGCCTGAATCATAAAATAAGCTTATAGAATGGGAATGTTTTGGATTATATTTGTTAAGTCACATACATGAATCACACGCATTTGTCGATACATTATGGTTTTCTGTGCCACTTTGTTGATTGTATGCTTTACTGATATTTCATGCGTCCAACCATAAAGCCAAATTAAGTGTGGACAGAAGCCTCTTATTTCTCCTTCTGCTGTTTACGTTGTCTATAAGACTGTGCAAAATGGATCCCAGCACAATTCTTTGGTGACTTGTTTAAAGACTTTATAGACTTCAACCTCAAAAGTCAGCGTGGTCATTTTGAAACGGAGTGTTTTCCAGCCTAGTGTCTCGATGCAAAAAGCAAAGGGTGAAGCTGCCGCCGTAATGTGAGGAACAGATGACAAAGGGGAAATAATGATCGGAGGGAAAACAAATCTTTTGGTTTTGCATAGCTTTCATGCTGAGGCTGAATACCAAACTAAAGAGACAAACACGAGACTAGAGGGGAACACTGTGTTCAGCTATATCCTGAACATGAACTCAGCTGCAAAGGAAGCAAGAGAGGGGAGGGAAAATACACCAGACAGCCTGTGGAGGAATGTTAGGGAGGACATTAAAAGAGGTAATGAAAGGACTATGCACAGTGTAGATGAAGTGAGGTGGTGCATTTAAAAGTGGCATAACAAATACATTGTATGTAAGGCATATTTCTATTTTTCATACCCAGATTAGAAGCTTGCACGTAGATGAATGCAGGTTGAGACCGATTAGCAGAAATTTGGATTCAGATTGACTTAATACGTGGATGTTTATGGACTTAATCAACTGATGTATGCTTAACAGGAGGTTCAGCAGCGGTGTCAGCACTGCGTGCAGCTCTGTTTGTAAATGAGTGGGCCAGCCTTAAGTGGGTAGTGCTTTCCGCTGAGATAAGAACAATTGAAAAGGTTGTAAAGCAGGACGACTTGAGCCTATAAATTAAACTGTCTCAACAGATTGGTTCCTATAAAGAGAGTTCTGCATCAACTATCAAAGATCCTGTCGTTTTATGTAAAGATTTATTACATCCTTTTCCCCTCAGATTTCAAACATTAAGCCTGAAGGGAGAACACCTATGGTTAATTTCTTCCATATACCGTGCATTTTCTTGTTTTTTTTCCCCCCCTTTTCTTCATTACTTTTTTCATCCCCAGTAAAAAGCACATCTGGACAAGGGGTGGTGGGTATTTTTAGCAACATGCATGTCCCTGAACAGGAAGCTCCTCCAGCAGAGAAAAAGCTTGTGCTATCCTCTCTCTCCTGGTTGAGTCCCATCCCTACGCACACCCAGAGCATCGGGGCACACCGGGGGCTGTCTGTGTCTGCGGATGTTTCTGGTGGAGAGGTGAAACTTTGCTATGTATTGTCTGGTCAGGCAACAATGGAATGAGTGTGTGTTTGTGTGAGATTAAAACAATTGATCTGGAGGCCACTTCCTGGGCCTTTTAGTTCCATTGTTGCTGGTAACAAGAGACAGTCCACATTTACAGTAAGGAAGTGACACCAAGGCTTGGAATGAAGTTCTCTATTACAGGCACACATGGCACACATGTTGATTCATAAACAAACTCACATTTTTTTAGGGTTACGAATATTCTCAGCCTCTCGAATGTTGGGATTTGCTCATATTCCTTACCTTATAAGATCCATTCATCCATCTGAGCTGTTCAAACTGGAGCCTGTCAATGTTTTGATGTGTCGAGGAGTTGGGTAAACATGCTGAACAGTCATCAAGATGTGTCTATACTTTATAAAGAAAGAAAATGAATTCAGTCAGTTAACTCTGTTGATGGTAAACAAATGAGTCAAGTGTGCTCAAAAGGGCAATGCATAATTTTCATATTAAACGGCAAAGGGTTTATATCAAATATGACTCAAAACTTTCATTTCAGAATAACCGGAATTACCCTGAACTACTTACACATGGTTGTAATGTAAGGCATTGAGATATGTAAAATAATCCACAAGAGGAAGTGACAGTTTGGAAGGAGGAGTCCCATTTGTGAAAGTAGACTTTAGGTTTTAAGACACGCATGAAATTTGAATACCTAAAAGTAAGATTTACATTGCACGAAAAATGTCTGAACTCTAATCATTGATCATTATAAGACATTAAATCATTATGCAAACGCCAATATACCCATGATCTCAGAGAGGTGACAGTAGATGAAAGCTGTTTTTCCAACTGAGAAAATGTGACATTGCTTGAGCTTTCTTCACAGTACAAAATACAATTTCCCCCACAGTGTCATTATACTGTGAACATGAACATAATTATTATCATGAGTAGGAAATTTGACGACCAATAAATGCAAATTCATTCGTGGTTGCCTCAAGTTCAGGGTGTGAATGTTCACAGATTTTAAATTGGAGGGATTTTGCTGTCTCATAAAAGATTCACACCTTCTGATGCCTACAATTTATGTAACTTGAATTAGATTTGTAACTCTATGGCTTCACTCCACGGCTACATGTGGTTGTTTTATTTAGTGGTTCTTTTCTGATCAGAGGGTATTTCTGCCCAGCCAGCGGGCACAATAGATTGCTGTTTTATTTATGAATATTAGTAGCCCCGTTATGTTGCATCATCAGAATTCCAGCTGTGCTTTGAAGTCAATTATTGAAATTGTTAAAATTTGATGATATTTGAGAGCTTGAATTCAGAAGTTCCAGATGTCTGTTTTCTCAATTTGTATCTAGACAAGAATTATCAAGATCATAAAATAAGTGCATTTTATTTTCAATATTTTGTTTAATTCTTTTCTATGAAAAGGAAATATAGAGTTTGACTTCTTTGGAAGATATTGCAATATTATGTGAAGATTTTGAAAACAAAAGACGAACAAAATCTAATAATTCCACTTCATCATATTTTTTGTGATTTACTTATTTTGTGGACTTTATATGTGAGTAGTCTTTGCAGTGCCTGTTGCACCTGCACCCCGGCACGTCCTCTGTCCTCTGACTGACTGAACTCACTCTCCATAAAGCAGTATGTCCCTCTTTCATCCTCCAATCTCCTCCAATTTGATCCCGTAGCCCCTTTCATCCATCAGTGCCCTTCACTGTTTCCCTGCCAGTTCACACTCTGTGTCGCTTAAAAGCGCTTGGTGAGGGAGGATAAAGGCAGGGAGCTTAACTGTCTGTGCCAGCCGCCTTTGGCTCCAAATCCAAGGTGCCAGTGTGAGAAATAACTGTTGTCCCATGGATGATGGAATTTCCTGAGCTCAGTGGTGGCTGTGTGAGAGCCCAGTGAAATGAAAGGGACTTCATATTCCTGGAAATGTTAACAGCGAGGATGTTCTGTACTTTTCTCTTTTACGGTCTGCACAAACACTTTTTTATTTACATAGGAAAAAGAAATACTTGGAGCTCAAATTGATCTCCGTTGAGCCCAATTCGGCCCGGAATCTGGAGGTAGCAAACAAGTCTGTCAGGAGTCAAATCTCGCTCCAACTTGGTAGTCTAAGCACCTATGAAATCCGAGTTAAACACCGGGGTTTAGATGTTGAGTGAGAGAGGTGGTTGAGGAAAGCTCCCATGTTGAAGACATCAGGGAGGGAGGCCTGTGGCAGTTTAGCTCCTGGCAGGAGAACCCCCTATAAAGCAGGCCTATTAAACCGCTCCTCCTTACCCGAGGAGTCAGGAGAGTTAATCGGAACCAGAGCTCTGGCTGGAACCACGAACCAAACGCTGGGACCGCACTGTCCTGGTCGTGGAGACAGAAGTTTGACGTTCCCACCAAAAACCCCCACAATGTGGGCTTGACCTTCCCACAAAGCCACCCTATGTACCTTTCAACGTACACCCCGGTGCTATAAATGTCTGTTGAGCATGTGTAATGAGCCAGGCGCCGTCAGCCTCCGCACAGGCACGGCAGCGCTGCCGTAATGAGCCACACATTGCTGCACTGTTCACTCGCTCCCAGTTGTTTGTTCCGTGTCTCAAGATATATGGCTGAGTTGCATAACAGATCCCCCTCCATTCTGGTTTTGCTTCGTTCGTGCACGTGTGGGTGTCTGCAAAGAGGCCGGCTCTACTCCCGCTGGAGCCCCTGGGGTCCCACTTTGCAAAATAATCACTTTTCCAGTGCTTACATTCTTCTAGGCAGCGTTCTAGCTACTTGGAAGTTTTATTTCAGTTGCTTCAAATCTGAAAAAGAACGGGGCGAAGAGAGATGTTTGAACCTCAGGAAAAGAGTATTCACTTTCAAAGTAATGCAGGCAGACAGAAGGATAAAAAGTTAAAGATTTTTTCCTCCTATATTCTGCAAAGGATCTGTCTTTCTACTTGGACTAAACCAACCTCTCAGCGTGTGTGTGAGTTGGCCTCAGTGTTGTGTGGCCATGCAGGGCGCTGTGGGAGTGAATCACTGTGTCCCCCCGCACATCCGGTGGAGGCCAGAGGCTGGCCGAGCGGTAGGACATGGCCAGGAAGCCTCTGAAGCTCCCCAGGATGTTGCTGTCAGCTGATCCCCTTTTGGGAGGGGAGGAAAAAAGAGCGGAAGAGGCGGGAGGAATGAAGTGGGGAGCGGGAGAAAAAATTGGCAGGTGTGGAAGGGACAGCAGAGGGAAAGCTTTCTGCAGCTGACAGTGACATTGGCAAGGTCTGTTAGGAAACAGAGAGGCAGACATTGCTCCTTTCCTTTCCTGCTCTGCTTCACAGTTCCACCACCCTGCAAGACGTAGCCATCCCTCTTGTTTTTCTTATATGAGGGAACGTTTAAATTTAGTGCATTTTTCCAGTCCTAAAACTTGGCTTCATGCATTGGTATAAATAGTTTCTTTAAAGTGGTATGTAATCCATTCCTTTAGGGAAGGACCTCTCTTTTTTTGCTATTTATAGTAGGAGTTCAGTGTATAGGATCCACATGTTCCTTCGACCGTTTGCTTAATGCCTGTTTGTGACACAGCTGGAGGAAATTTCCCCTCTAACCTCCCTCACCTCGCAAAGCACAGCAACCCTCACCTCCTCTGCCTGTCATGCACACACACACACTCAAGTTATTCTACATGTGTTTGCCTAAAATGTCTCTGGGAGACAGTGTCCAGACCGGTTTGTAAGGGTCTTTGAACTTGTAAAAACATTAAGTGAAGCTGACAGGCAAGTATCAGAGTGAAATGGTCTTTGTATTACAGTGTAACATGATATCGCCTGGAGACAGTAACCTAGTTTCTCCATATGAAATCAGGGAAAAGAGCACAGATCTCACCGGACAACGATCTAGAGCGTTCCTCGCGCTAGGTTTCATTTTAGGCCTGCTATATTAGTTGTGTGTTTTTTAATTGGTGCATCACTCTGTCGTCCAGCCTGTTTTTGCAGTGAAGGTTAAAGCTCTTTTTTTTTTTGCTGCCAGCTCTGCATGAATGGTGTTTAGGAAACTGGACAGGAAAGGCAGAGCAGACAGGGAAGAATAGAGGGATATCCCCTTACAGGGTTTCCTCCTTTTTGCTCCGGGATAGAAGGGGTGAGAACTTCGGAAAGGGCGTGGAGGCCGGTTGGTAAATCACACCACCTGTCCACGCACAAATGTCTGTGTTTGCACTCCAAAAAAGCCATTCATCAAAACATACACGATCATGCTCATTTACCCTGTGGAGGCTTTTGAGCTGCTGCCCCATCCCCGTTTGGGTTTATGTGTGTGTGAATAGTGAGAGACATTCAGATTAGCTGTATGTGGCCCAGATTACAACAGGATCAGCGCTACCACATACTACACAGGCCTTTGAACCATCAGTGAGACAGTGGACCAGCCACAGCTTTAGAAGCTTAAGACATTTAATTACATTTCTGGAGAGAGGAAGAGTACAGTTACAATTTCACACAAATTGTTATTTACACTCCGAGGAGAGAAATGTAAGCAACCTTTAGGCGTCCAGGGGAAAATGCTTGTTTGTCGAGATGAAAAGAGGGTAAAGTCAGGCTCTAGTCTTCAGGCACTGTGTCTCATTTGCGTTACCCAAACAAATGTGACATTTATGGGCTCTGATTTTGCAGACAGCATGTGCCCACCTTGTGGCCACAGCTGGAAATGCTTCTCTTAGATGAGAAATAAAATCCTCATAAGTCCATTTGACAGGAGGGAATTAAAAAACTCCTCTGATGTGTTCGGTCCCTGCGTGGAAAATCTTATTTTTCTAGGCCGAGGCACATACTTGTGATATGTAATGACAAGCTCTTCAGCTAAAGTTGACACTTTGTTTTTCATTGTGTCTTTCAAAGGTGCCACCAGAGACATCGGCTCAGCTCTGACGAGGATGTGCATGCGACACCGCAGCATCGAGGCAAAACTACGGCATTTCACCAAGTAAGAGGCGCTTACATATGATTTGCAATATTTCTCTCTTTTTTGCAACAAGGGCAACTTTTTGTGTTTTCAGGCTCCCTTTTTTTTAACCCTCTTCTAAGCCTGATATTTTTCACAGAGATTACTTTTTTCCCTGTCATTTGAATGAAGCCATTAGTCATTTCCTTCATCCCTGGGCTCATTCTTCTCTTTTTTTCCCTGCTTGTTGGTGTAGTGTCCTCATGGAGGGCCTGGTTATGCCACTGCAAGACAGGATAGAGGAATGGAAAAAGACAGCGAATCAGCTGGACAAAGACCATGCCAAAGGTTAACAAGCGGATAAATATGACTCTATTAATGTGCTATGTGTTTTGGAAGTTTTTAGACTTTTTTTTCTCCACTTACTCTCCACACAGAGTACAAGAGGTCTCGTCAGGAAATTAAAAGGAAGTCATTAGATACCATAAAACTCCAGAAGAAAGCAAGAAAAGGTGAGGAATGCTTTCAAATGATGCTCAGTATGTGAGATTTTAATGCTGTCTGCTGTCATAACGTCGAACAGTGAAACAGCACCATCTACAGGGCTGAATGTGAAATAACTGTCAAATCAAAATGTGCTTTAGCTCTAATTTTAGCTCTGTTTCCAGCTTTGGCTTGACTTTATAAATCAAAGACATTAACTTTTATCTGAGCTATGTTTGCCATAGCCTGTACAGCTGGTCTTCATTAAATTGTATTTGCATAAAGCGCCAGTTGTACGGCTTGTCGTAAACACGCAATGTGCTGCAATTTGACACAGCTAACACTGCCTGTTCTTCTGTCTCCCCACCCCTGCCTCTTACTGCAACGCTCCCCTGTTTCTTTCTGGCTTTTTTACCCTGGCTGTAGAACTTCTAGGTATGTCAGCTGTTCTTTGCCCTTGAACGAGAACCTCACAGGCATCAAACCCCTCATTAGATCAACCTGCTAGCCAGACAAAGCACTGTGCTCTCTTAGCATTTTTGGATAAAAGGTTGAATATTTAAAAAATGTTGGAGGATGATGCCTCATTGCTTGAAAGTAAAGTTACTACAGAAGATTGATTGGAGTTTTCTGTCTGTAAGGTGTTTACATTACTGCCTGCCAGCAGCAATTTAGTTGAGCTAAGCACAAAGACTCCTTGAGCCTTTACAAAAGTTGCAGAGTCCACAAGCGCCTTAAAATCATGAATGTTGTATTTTATTGGGTCCAGAAATCTTCTTAGAATTCTGTGTTATAGACAAAAATAACTGTTTTCTATTCTCAACTGACCACTGGTGGTGGCTTCTCTCATGCAAGACTCTTATGATAGCGGCAGCTTACCAACTATAACCTGCCAAGAATAAGAATTTGTATAGTTGTTTATAGTTTGTATGTTTTATATCTAAGATTTCTTTTTGAACTTTTGTTCATTAAAATAAACAGCAGTGGAATAGGCTTCTTCCACGCCAAAACATTTGATCTGAAAAATAACCGCACAAGTGCAAGTAAATAAGTAAAGAAGCAATTTTCTCAACCCAAAAATCAGCTGAATGCAGGATTCATACATCATTAACTGACCTTATTAACTTTGCATGTCATGCTGTGAAATGCCAAAAAATGGCAACGTTCGTACAGCATATTTATTTTGTCTGACAGTGTCTTGTAACGTCCCCTTGTTATAAACCAGCCTGTTGGGCTTGTTTCAGATTATGCCCTTCTCTCTGTCAGATAAGTCTCATTATTTTAAGAAAGCTTTTTTGTCATGTGGTGACATTTAACTTCATGATGAAGGCTAATCGCTAAAGCTTGTTTTTGGGACCTGCAAATGGATAAGCTGTCACATTATTGTGGGAGTCCTCATTTAAGTGAAGCATTATTAAATTCTTGCCCAAGTAAACACAGTGACCATGTTTAGATAAATCTGCAAAGTTCTGCTTATTAGACAGCCTGTTGGATAGATAGATAGATACTTTATTAATCCCCAAGGAAATTCAGGGCATCCGGTCGATTCATGCACATTTCCAGCCAGGCAACATACCAAGCCAATGTAGCTTATTATGTATTCACTTTCTACTATAGCTTTAAATTTTTAAAATCTTATTGGAGAGCAAACTAAAAATGCTAAGAAACAGTGGACATTATTATACTGTATAGTGTCTTTACCAGCCATTAGCTCATCTAAGCAGGAATGGAGCATTTCATTGGTCATCTTCATCTCATTGGTCATCTTTTGCTGATTCATTTATCATCTCATGTAACCGTAATAGTGTTTTTCTGTTCGGATCCATTTCAGACTCTGCACATCATCATGTTTGGCAGCGTGCTTCAGCGTCCTCTCATTCCCATGTGCATGAGCCATTTTAGTATCATGTTTGTTAGTGCAATGCCCCCGAGTACACAGCGGCTTATCATTATTTGTTCTAATCATTTTTGCTCTTTTCCCTCTCCCTGACACTTCATGTCATTCTGTAATTATCTCCCACCCCTCCATCCCCCTCTGTTTTCATTCCTCCTCCTCCTCTCCACTCTGTTTACTCAACTCCCCTTCTCCTCTGACCTCCCTTTCTCCACCCCTCCCACACTCCTCTGTGCCTCTGGGTTCTGGCCATTGCCGTGCACAGGCCGGGGAAACCTGCGGCCCCAGCTGGACAGCGCCATGCAGGATGTAAGCGACATGTACCTGCTGATGGAGGAGACGGAGAAGCAGGCGGTGCGAAGAGCTCTCTTGGAGGAGAGAGGACGTTACTGCTCATTTATCAATTTACTTCAGCCTGTGGTGGTGAGCCTTCATAGGTCTAACACTGTATATGATAACATTATATATCTATTGATGTAAAGCGCACTGAGGCAGAAGGACCGTATGGTAAAGTCTTCGGGCTCTTTCTGATGTCAGAGATGTTTAATTTGATCCACCCTGCTTTTTTTTCCAGAACGTGGAAATCGCCATGCTGGGAGAGATAACCCATTTACAAGCCATAGTCGATGACCTCACTGTGTTAACTGAAGACCCACATAAGCTGCCCCCCGCCAGCGAGCAGGTATCAGGGGTGCACCGCTTCTAATGCTTTTTTATTGTAGCCGATGCACTCGGCGTCTGGCTTCTCTAACAGATGGTCTGGTCATTTGAATCACAATTACATTTCCAAGGTTATGAAAACAAACTAATCTTACGCTAATGAAATACAACTTTAGTGCCATAAACAGCCACCGCCGAGCCAGGGCTTAAAGTCCCCCCAGCTGCTGAATAAACCTGCTAGATAAACAAAAGAGTGTCAGTCCACAGGTGTAATGGTCCAAAACGCAGGGTTTACTCCAGGCTGTGTACTCTCTGCCAGACACCGCAGTATCTTTCAGAGTAAAAAGCTGCATGTCAGTGTCAGCCGTTGTCGCAGTGTTGTGACCATTTTGTGATGTGCCGTGACAGGTGATCAGGGACCTGAAAGGCTCCGACTATAGCTGGTCCTACCAGACCCCTCCTTCCTCTCCCAGTAGCGCCAGCTCCAGGAAAAGCAGCATGTGCAGGTATACCCAAATACACACACACACTTGTGGTGCAGAGGGTTAAAAATCCACCAAAGCAATCCACTTTGACTTAAAACTCCCTTCGTGTTATTTGTGTTTGACATTTCTGTTGGTAATGATGGATTTTATTGATGCAGGAGCTGTTTTGAACAAGCACACATGCATATTCTCAATTTTGACCCAAATAGTTTCACAGAGGAAAAGTTCTTTTTTTTACTGTCAGATTGAATTAAAATCTGACAAACATCAGACACAGCTAACTAAACAATGAAAAGAAAGGATGACAACTTAAAATCAAGCTGGTTGTTTAACTTATTATAACTTTTTATAATTAATTAGTTATTGCTCTTTATAAATGTATGCATTAATGGGCCATTTTTTGAGAGAAGACAAAAGCTGTTAAGAATCAGGTTTAGGGACATCACCCTGGTGTTAGACATGCTATGAATTTGTGCTAATTAATGCCTTATCCTATTTTTACTTTCCTGTAAATATTCACACTGAACCACTGAAAAATGTGCGATGGTAAAATATTGAGTTCTCGGTTGAAGCCAAGCTTTTTTTTTGTATTGAATGAGACTTGTCTGTGAAAAGTTTATACCACCAAAATGACTTTTTATTAAACAAAACCTTTTCATGATTTTTTTAGTGGTAAAATAGCTCTAAAATTAGATTTAAAAATGTAAAAGAGACAAAAGTTTGATGGTACTGCAAGATGTAGAAAAACAGGCTTATTTATCAAAGAAGAGAAAAGACTTAATAATGGTCTGTGGTTTTAAATGATTAATGACTATTCAGTTTGTCATATTTAATTTGGCCTTCCTCTTTAAGCCACATGCTACAGAATGAAGATTAATGAGAAATGATAACGGCAGATCTGTACCAGAGGGAGATGGGAGGGAGGAGGTGTGGGAGAGGATTGCATAGGGAAGGTGAGAAGCGCAAGTTGCACATTTAAAAAATGTGTGGGTGACAAAGGGAAGCGACGCAGCGCGAGAGTAACAAAGCGGGAGACCAAAAAGCACAAAGCCGGCTCTTAATCTTCAGAGGGAAAGGCAAATCAAATAAGGGATAATGTTTTAATGCTCTTTGATGCACAAAAATGAAAAAGAACGGCACCACTTAAACAGCCTTCGTGCTCACAGCGTTTATGATCAAATTTTCATTGAAACCTTTTTTGTCTTTTACCGTGGCTTACACAAAAATGTTCTTCATCCATAGGAGAAAAAAACCATTTTCAGAACAGGGGACAAGAATGTGATGGTATTGATCGCAACACTGATTAATATGCACACTAAGGTTTAAACTCTTGTGATATCCTGCCAACAGCTTGCTCCAGATGCCCTCAGCTGGAGCCCATAGGCTCAGCAGCGTCTCCTCCCATGACTCTGGCTTCGTCTCCCAGGATGCCAACACCCATTCTAAGCCTCCGTCACCCATGCCCTCTGATATCACCAGCCAGGTACCTGTCTCAGCCGAGATCCTAAGTGTTCTTTTTTTTTTTAAATCGGAGGTAGATGGGGGAACACAGATAATGTGCTCCAGCAAAACAGCCTCTTTTCTCCAGGGATTCCTCAGGCGATGGTGCCGCGGGGCAGCAAAACACAGCAACAACACCAGTTTCTTGTCAAAGTACATGTAGAGTGATACACTCTTTAACAAGGGTTTTTCTGCCTGGTGTCTTCAATCTGCCTTTTCCCCCCCCAGTCTTACTGGGAATGTGATAGTCATACTGAGCTTTTGGTTTGTAATAGAGTCTTATCATTTGCAAATGTTCAATTCCTATCCCACAAGGCTGATAAAGTTATTCAGACTCTCACAGTCTGAGCAGATTGTGGTGTGTCGAACACACTCAGCAGCATACCAACACACCAGCTGATGCAATATTCCTTTTCTGAAGAAATAATTTTACAGGCTACTTTATTTTTTATCTCATCTATAGTCTTTAATCCCATTGGGGAGGGGAGGGGGGCGAAAAAATCCTTTTCTCTCAAGTTTTCAGCCCTCTTTTTCAGCGCGCACCCTCTGTGTATGTGTCTCACACCAGCATCCTTCTCCCTCTTTCCTTTTTGGAACTCCACTGTTCTTGACTCCATCTTCCCTTCCCCAGAAATCAACAAGCTCAGCCTCCTCTGAGGCTTCAGAAACCTGCCAGTCTGTCAGCGAGTGCAACTCTCCTACAGCGGTTAGTACTGCTTGCATCTCTCACCGATCTACAAGCCTTGCTGGACACACACACACATGCAGGCTTTCACTGGTGCGCACACACTGACGGGCAGTGAATGTCCCTCAGTGAAGTTATCTATAGCTGTGAAGTAAAAATAAAAAAAAGTATGGGGATTGTCCACGGCAGCTGCAGTGCAGTTTGACGTAGACTGTCCGTGGATGTTGAGCACTCTGACCCACACCTGTCTGTCCATTCTGCAGTTTGGCTCATGCTCATCCTTCGGTACCTTTCGCCCTGCTTTCTCTCACACTGGCACCATCAGGCCTCTGTCTGTCATACCTCCTGCGTCCCCCACATTTAACCACCCTCTTGGATCCAACAGTCCCTCACCCTCATCAAAGGTTCCTAGCTGGAAGGTTTGTTTTTTATTTGCAATTTTCACTTTGAGTTTGCTTTTTTTTAAAAACCTTCGTTGCTTCTTCTTTTGTGTTTTGCCACAAACACTCTGTGCAGATGCGCCTCACAATCACCATTTTTCCTGTGACTCATCCAGCTCGGTGTTCACTTAACTGAGGTGTAACGCTCAGCCAAAGCCTAAACCTGTCTGCTTATATCTCTGCACATGCATCTAACCAGATCATGAGCCCTAACAGCAGGCTTCGCGTCTAATTAAGAGTGCAACCGTTGGATGGCAAACTCTGGAGAGCCCAAGTTGGAAAGTAGTCTGATTATTCCATCTGCATCTGCAGGAATGGGCCAAGGCCAGTTCCTGCGAGCCATCGCTGGCCAGCACACTGCATCGTAGAAAGGAGACCGTGGATAAGATGAGAGAAATGGAGGCTCCGCCCAGTCCGCAGGGATACTCCGGCATTCAGCCCGACGATCCCCACAGAGTGAGAAGTGGCCCTGGAATGATAACGGCCAAGGTATAAGCTCCCCTGGATGTGAAAATGTAAATGTCAGCAAATAAATTAGGATGGAAGAGGGATTGCAGTGTGGTTTATGGCTTTTGTAAACATCTGCCGATCTGTATGTGTCCCACGCCTGCGTTTGTGCATTCTTCAGCACGGAGAGCCCCTGTCTCCAGCGGCCAATACCCTGGCGATGGTTCTGACGAGAGGCTTGAGCATTGAGCAGCAGAAGAGCAGCAGAGACTCTCTGCAGTACTCCAGTGGCTACAGCACCCAGACCAACACCCCCTCCTGCTCTGAGGACACCATACCCTCACAAGGTAACTCATCCTGAATAGCCAATAGCCCGAGAAACGTTCGAGTTTCCATTTTGAGTCACTGTCAGTGTGACGACTGTTCATTTTTTACGTGACTGGAAGCAGCAGATAAACTAACCAAAAGGACAGTTGCCAGTATTTTTATCATTCCGTATTAGAAAAAAAAACTCATGGCTTTTCGTCACTTTTAGGTTCTGATTATGAGTGCTACTCTCTCAATGGCGATGCTGACAGTGAGGGGCAAGCGGACTTTGACAAGTCTTCCACCATCCCCCGCCACAGCAACATAGCTCAGAGCTACCGCCGTATGATCCAAACCAAGAGACCTGCCAGCACGGCGGGTATACCTGCAGGAAAGAGCCTGCAGGGCACTCCTAATGGTGGCGGGGGAGGCCTTTCTGCAGCTATTTCCTCCGGAACCGCCACCATTCGCCGGACACCATCCTCAAAAACTGGCGTGAGACGCACGCCTTCCACCTCAGGCCCCATTCCCATCCGCCCCCCCATCGTGCCGGTTAAAACTCCCACGGTACCAGACTCTGCGGGGTACGCTAGCCCATCCCATCATCACACAGGCAGCGAGGAGTTTCTATACGGCGATGACCCCTCCGCTAACGACTACGCCAGGGCTTCTCCAAAGCGAATGAGCCTCCCTGACACAGCTTGGGGCTACGGGGGAGGAGGAGGAGGAGGAGGAGGAGGGGGAGACAGGGCTGTTTACACCCAGCAAGCTGCTGGCATAACCTCCCACGGTGCGGAGGAGGACCCCCTGCTCGCTGCCAACCGCCACAGTCTGGTGGAGAAGATAGGAGAGCTGGTGGCCAGTGCCCATGCCCTCGGTGAGGGTCAGTTCCCGTTCCCCAGTTCTCTACCGGGGGATTCGGCTCAGCGCGCGCCCAGGGAGCCCCCCTCCGCGGCCCCGAAAGACGTGGATATGCTGGTGACCATACGGCGGGGGGTGAAGCTGCGCAAGGCAGTCACTGATGACAGATCAGCTCCCAGGATTCTTCGGTAGTTGGAGGAGAGGCGGGAGCGCGGACTGAGCTGCGGGGCCCATTATTTGCGAACACAGTTTGTAATGAATAGCAGGGGCTCTTGCGTAATGCATGAACTGAGGCTCAGTCAACAAGGACGATGCTGCGTGTGGTGAATGAAGGCCTGTCCAGTAATGAGGGACTACGAACATTGTCAAGCCATTTCACGTCATGTATGTTTTGCGTACGTACAAAGTATTCCAGCTTTGTTTTTTTATTCTTCTGTTTTGTTTTGTTGACTTTGTGGCTGTGCGTCTCTGTTCCCCGTGTGACCAGTTGTTTCAGCCCAGTTAACCCAGTAGACCCCGTCATTACCAGGTCACCTCGACTGGGAAATGAACGCTCGGTGTCCTTGATCATGCTTTATGGTGCATTTCTCTGTTAACACAGCCACCTGTCAGTGTAAAGTGAAGGGTGCAGAGCTCCGTGAGCCTGTCTATATGTTGTGTTTTTCATTGTTACTGTCCAAGTATCGTCTTATTTTTTTTGTTGAAATAAGCTGGACAGCAGCTGTATAATTTTTATGTAAAAATAGAAGCAATATGGCAGTGCTTATATTGCTGTACCGTACTGTCAATATATTCTGCAATTAAACAGTCTTTACTGTAAAATGCCTTCTTTTTTGTGTGAAAATTCAGATTTCCTATTATTTTTTAAAGATATTTAAAAATCCCTCATCAGTGTTGTGAGTACTTCTGCATAGCAACATGAACTGATCGTTCCCAGTCTTTTCAAGGTATCTTTTTAAATTTGTAATTGAAAGAAAAATATCCATCCACATGTGCTGACACACGATATATCTTAACTGTAGAAGCTCATAATCGGTATTTTAGTTTTTTACCTGGGAAGTAAGGACAATTTGGCGCTGTTTAAACGTCCAATAGCAGATCAGGGCTGCAGGACTGTGTCCACCGCTGCAGTACCCTGGGGCGACGGGTGGGGGCGCTGCAGGTCCTCACAGGTGTGAACGAGCGTCGTTGAGTGGACAGCGAAGGAGGATTTCTGTTTGGTCGCCTGGGATTGAAGAATATTTTTAAACAGGCAATATTTAAAGAAGAGAAAGTGCTGCCCGGGGAGAGATGCACATTCAAATCAAGGTCAGTGGACCTAACTGCGAAAGTGTGACGAAAGTTTTGTTCGTACACTCACATGTAACACTGAAGCTAAAAATAAATAAACAAATAAATATAATATAATATAATTTAAAGGCGTTGTTTTAATGCAAAAGCTGTTTGGAAGTTTTATTTCTGGCCAGAACCGGAAGGCCGTCTCACAAGTGGGAACCAACAAAACTGTGTAAATTTAAGCGCTGGCATTTAATGTGTAACACAATCTCTAGGGTGTGTGAAACGTATTTTTCCTGGAGCAGCCGAACGTCCTCCCATTATTTAGTAAAATATTGGTCCTGCAGCTAAACTGACTTTACAAACTGCACCCCCCTCCGGACAGCAGCGATGATGAACCGCACCTTTTTTTTTTTTTTTTTTTCGCCTGGAAACCTGCTTTTAGAGCCTGCTGCCGTATGATGCATGACCATAAAGTCCATTTAGAGTCAGATAAACGGGGCCACTTACTGTACACTTCAGGAAAAAAGGGGAAACGTGAGTATTAGATATGGATAAGTGGGAAAATAAATGGAGGTTGAGTATGTTGTCGAGGCAGGAAATGGTCTAATCTAATGTGAGAATAATTCCATTTGTTTGTTGTTAATTGTCTTGTACCATAACTGAGATCAGTACATAGAAATTATAAGTACTACTAAATATTGGATGTGAGAAGGTTTACCTGGCCTAAGCATAACCCTGATTAGATCTACTGAACAGAGGGGTAGGTCTCTGATTTAGTTGGCTCTTTTTTTTTTTTTTGAGTCATTTAGAAGATTAAAACCGTCATGTCTGAGGAAATAATCAGTCTTCTCTGGCTGAGACGCCTTCAGTATTTTTCACATTCAAGTCCAATGGGTTAGCCATAATCCTGCCAGCCGCATGAACAGTGCATTATTGAATTTACACCATTAGCGCAGTGCCTTGAACTGGGTGAGTAATGGATACCTACCTTAATGGCTTTGGCTTGATGGGATAATTAACGCAGAGAGCTGAGGAATTTTATTGTGCGTCCAAGTTTTTGTTCTCTCTGTCCAACCTGTGTTCCACAGAAAAAATGAAGAAAGCATTGCACAAACACCTCAACTCTCATTTGAGTAGGTGCTAATTGAAATTTTTCATGTGTTTTCGGATGAACGGACATGAGATTATTCGTTTCTACAAGAAGCTATACAAAATATAAAATGAAAATCATTATATTATTTCTTCAGGTGATTATTAATCAGGTAATTACACAACTCTAAGGTCAGGTAATTTAGATTTAATGAAAGCCAAAGGTATGCCCTTAAAAATAGTTTTCTATGAAAGCAACTGCTGTTCTCATTTATTAAACTTACTGAATCTTTGAATTTATCAAGTCAAAAGTCAGTTTATAAAGGTTAATTCAAAGTTAAAAGGTTAACTGGATTCTCAGTAATAAGATACATTGATTTAGTCTTTTATTCTGTGATACCTTGACAGAACTAAAGCTGCTCTAGTGGTATCTGTGGAGGAAAATTCTCAACCTGGCTGCACACACTGCTCCATAATTAATGGATCTATTAATAAACAGTTATGGTTTCTGCAGCATAGCTTTCGTTAGGTGCTGGATGCCTTAGGGAACACAGATCACATATAATTAGCTGCTGTGCCTAATACATGAGTGGGGAAGTCTTTATATTTATCCAGGCCCTTTAACTTCTTTTTGCCTTCAGGTTTCAGTGTGATGAAATGTCTTGAGGGGTCCCACACACACAGGAACACTACAATAAACAGCATGGCAGAGCTGAAGTTCCTGTCAGGTGTCCCGGCGTTCCCAGAAATGGCTCTTCCTGAGAACCATGTGGGAGGTGGTTTCCATGGTCGTTCACTCAAAAGGTTCTCTGATGAATGGCAGCCAAAGCGCTGGATGCCTAGTCATCCATTTTAATTGTCCTGTCATTCCTTAATAAACCTGCCTTTCCAAGCCAATTATTTTACTGACTTCTGCTGAACAGTCTATTTTTAAGACTTTCTGACCACTCCACTCACTCTGTGGCATAAACCGCCTATGAACTCATGTTAGTGCCAAATCCTGTTAACGCTACCCTCCATCAATTCCTGACACCTCAACGCATTTTCCTGAAAGGAATGATGGATAATTATGCAGAACATACAAGTGACATGATGGAGCCCCCCCCCACCCTTCCTGATGCACACAGAATAGGAGGCAGAATGCTTTAAATGTTACAAGACTGCAATCTTAGCCTTCAGAAGCTGCTTCTGTCTCTGAGTGAAGGGAAAGGATTCAGTCAATTATTCATTAAGTAAGCATGAAGCTTTCTAATGTTCGCTGGCTGCTTTTACGCGGTGTGATTTTTTTTTTTTTCTCACTTCAATGCCCTGCAGCTCGTAGTTATCTGTTTCAGGAGCTGGATGATGAGGCCGCTTCATGGTGTTTTTATTATTTTTTATTTTCCTAAATTCAATACAGCTTTGTTGTTTTTATGTGGCGAACGTCGGTGTTTTATCTCAGTAGATAATGATCGCAGCGACCCTCAAGTAAACTACCCCTCACACTCTGGCCTGGCCCTGCGATTGAATTAGTCTGTGCTACGGCGTATCTCCCACACTGGCAGTCACGGTGAATTTCACCATGTGAGACAACGTGATAAAAGACCGGGTTTGATTTGCATTCACGAAGCACTTAGGAGGTTCAAAGAAAAGTTGCAGGGCAAGACGAGCTCGCAGGGTCCTCTCAGACAGCGTCTCCTTCTGACATGCCAGCGATGCTGCATGATGTCACTTCCCATCAATGAGTCTCTGTCGCATTAAAGAGGCTGAGGGTTTTTTTTTATTTTTTCATTTTTTTGTTGTTGTCGGACATATTCTGAAATGTCTGTTCTCTCCTCAGGTCAGAGATCCCAGCAACACCAGGGAATGTGAGATGGCTCATGTTTCCGGGTGACACAGCCTGAAGCCTGAGCCATATTGTGAAAAAAAAAAAGAAAGAGAATGAGCTATGTGCTCCAGCTGTAAGCAACGTTTCAAAATTGTCTGGAGGCTCACTGGCAGCTCCCAGAGTTGTCGTCTGAAAAGGACAGTTTACCACAGAGAGTAGATGTGGCTAAGAAGGCTGTGATGTAGCTTTAAAATGATAAGAATCTCTCAGTCTGACATTTGAAGAAATTTCATCTGTCCGTTTTTTTTCCCTCGGTGGAGAAGCGCTGTATGGAATCTCACCTCTGCCACATATGAGTATTGATCTGTGCACATCTGAAGGAAAATGGCTGACATGACATGGGAGACAAAATCAACATTTTGTGCTCATTTGACTGCCTTTTTCCTTATCGTAAGACAACGCTCTCCAGCGTGTGTGTGTAATTCAATATTCATAAGTGTCAGATGCAGGGAGGTGAGGAGGATTTAAAGATTACACTCTCTGGGAATTAGCAGCTGCCACCTACAGTTTGAGGTCCTCTCGGGTTGCCTGGCATGCTAGTGGAGTGGGAAAGGAAAGAAGAGCAAAGAGAATGACAATCATCATTTGAACTCTGGTGTGCACATTCAGACATATGGAGCGGCTCAGCGTAAGCTGCCTTAAATCATCATGTTTACCCAGTTTAACAGCCCTAACCCTTTCATTTGCATTTACATCACTGCTTCTCAGAGTTGATTCCTCTTTTTTCTTTAAGCTATAAATGACGTGTGGTTGTGTGAACCTGTGTGCAATGTGGTGTGGGAAGAGTAACCCAACATTCAGGGAAGGCTTGAGAGCGTTGAGGTCTTTGGTTCAGGTCCTCCGGGAGAGGATGAGTGCTGTGCATGAGTAATTGTCCTATCAGCACCTATAAAGCAGACTTACGGAGGGGCACGTCAAACCAGTATGTGGAGGCTGCTCTGCCTGGATAGAGCGTGGC